ATAGCTTTGACATCAGCAGCGGTAGCCTGCTCACCAGTTCTTTCCTTAAAATTTTCTATAACTTCATCTGTTGACCGAGAGTGCAATATTACTGGCTTCAAGTTTTTTTTCTTTGGATGACAATCTTCTACTCCACGGATCACAAACCATTCATGAACTACTTCAAGGATGGATGTGAGACATGTTGTAATATTTTATGACGTATTCTTGACTTTCCAATCTTATACGAAACCTAGATTGGCAGTTTAAAATGTTCGACCTTAAATGTCACAGATTAGTTAGAGTCCTCACGGTTTTTTATTCACTGTCAGACCTTCTGATTTACGTTTACGACCAAACGTGCAGTGAAACACCACAAGCAAGTATTTATATCTCATATCTCATATGCTTTTTGCGTGAACATAGTGCGTATAGGTAATCTGAGAAAACATAGAATTATTCTACCATACTTTGTGGAAATCCTTTGGCGCATTATCAAATTCAATCAACCTTCCGAATCGTTTGTTCAGCATAATACGTTGGAACGCCTTGCTTATGTCCACTGAAATTTCACTTGACCATATAGCACTACAGACAACACGCATTAATTATCAAAAAAAGTTATTCATTGAAAAAAAAATACCAACTGAGAGAAGTACAACCACATTTCGTCCTAACTTCTTTGTTTAACAGCGACTCACAAAAACTCTGTATATCTATGACTTTTAACGTTATCTCATCTTTCTTACGTTGTTTTGTGGACCTTATCAACAAATTATATAAAGGTGTTGACTATTATTATAGCAGTTGGGATCACAGATCAAGTCGAGAAGCAACAACATAGCTAACGTGTACACTATAAAACAGAGAATGCTAAATTAATGCTCTTGGTACTTATTTGTGCCTTTTCATGCAGCAAAAGATGACTTAAATATGGAAAAACGTAATCATACGACCCAACACACCCACGGCAATTGAAATACAGAATGACCGCCTTTAGTCAAGGTCGTTGAAACGAAACGGCGGGCAGATTTGAAGAAGTCTACCTTTTTTCCCCTGCCTACCCAGACAGTAATTTTTTAGTGCAACATCCTCACTTCTGGTTGTTGGCATTCTAAGTCGACTGAATACAAACGGCTCCTGGATATTTGAGATATAAATCCCTTCAGTCATGACCGGAATAACAAATTCACGTTACGTCATCATCGTCATCACGAAACCATGCTATTTGCCCATTACACAGGAGTATAATAAAGACTCCCCGTCTTAAGCCAAATCCCAAACATATAGCAGTACAAGCTTACGACTACTCTCGCCCGCATATTTTTGACACCAATAGCAGTTGCTTTCATGCTAGTATGCAATGTCATGTGTTCTATTGTATAGTTCAAAGTTTCGCTTCACACTCAATGTACGGTTTATTAGGAAAAACTTATACTTTCTGAATATGTCTAGAATACCATGCAAATTATGAGTGTGTATGGTCTACAAAGCTATGAGAACATGCCTACCGTACCTGTTGAGATTTACTCAATGAGACCTGAAAATCACCCCAAAATCACGAAGGATCTATTCAGTATGGTCTGTTTAAAATATTTACTCATATCGACCGTAACATTCCCTGAACTAGAAGTTCAAAAACCATTTTTTTTATATTTTTCTCTCAACTTTTCGGAAGGATTATCAATGTAAGTAAACAGTCCCTAGAATTGGACTTCATTGTATTTACTTATATTACGAAATCTTCACAATGTCCAGTTACTCAATAAGTAATCCAGTGCTGACAATGACAGAGAGGAGAAATACCTTTTTAAAAGGCACCAATGTACATGTTTATTTTTCAAAATTTAACAGATTATTTAAGCATGTATAGATAATAATAATGATATATTTCTGCATGTGAAGGTACACACCGTTTTTACAGGCATGATCTATAAATTACAACATTTATTGGTTCACAAAATGTTTCCCAACTTAATAAGTTTATAGTTGTTATAAAGCGAAATCGTAGAGCGCTTGCTGTAAACTATGACCTTGAGAGGACGCGTACATCAAGTTTGTTCCAAACGTCAGACGTTTTATAGCTGTGCTCTCAGAGCAAGATTCTGAAGAAGAAAATAAGAGAAACAGAAGAGCAGCAAGTCACTTGGAAATGAACGCCAAACATTGCTTAACATAATGTAGTAGAACGGACAGAGGTATAATAAATTAGAATAAATTCATATTATGTCTTGTTAGTGAAATGAAGTCAGAGGCTCCATATTAGAGAATGTACTAATAAAGAACAATGTGTTGTGATGTTTAACAAGTTGGAGTAAGCTCACACGAAGGGAAGGAAGTCAAGGCTGGTACAAGGAAAGCGGTTTATAAGAAGGGTGTGTATATAGAGGGTGAAGTGTTAAGAATATTAATGACTACATCTTGTATTGTTTAACTTTTTTTCCTTTTTTTGTTTGTCCGATGCCAGCCACACAATCCTAGTGTAAAAATACGAGTTAGCATGTTATAGGATGTCTTAGTAGAACAGCTAATCCAGCATAATATTGGAAACATGAGTTTGAGTGGTGAGCGTAGGAAAACAATCTATATCACAGATTGATTGAATTATTCTCAGTCATGAGGAGCCTGATACATACAAAATGTTCTGTCCCCACAAACATGGGTAGATTGAAGTTATCGCCCTCACCATCAATGCTTGCTGGTCAGTAACTCCACCCTCCCTCCTTTTGTGATGTTAGGCTCATTTAGGCTTATTTTTGTATATACGTCATACCTCACACAATCCTCTGTTTCACAAACTGTTGGAAAGCACTATTTCTATAAGTACCATTTTACAAGCTTATCAGGCAGTTACAAGCTATGGACTGTGGGTAAAGCAAAGTAAGTAACTGCAAAGTAGGAAAAATCAGGCGAACTGAACTTGAAGTCCATTTTGGTCTAGACATGGAGAGAGCCTATGATGTCTGAGTGGGGCGCAGACGTGTTCGTAAGTGCAAGATCAGTGCAAGTGAGGGCTTGAACAAGCAGTTTTACAAACGTATGTAATTCATCTGCCATGCGATTTTCGGAGGGAAGACTGTTCCATATTATTGCATACTTGGTGAGGAAAAAGTTTTCCCGAGTTTTTGATCTGTATTTCTCAACTTTGACGGTAGATACTTTGTTTCGAAGTCCGTATGCATGTGAATCTCGGACAAGAATTATCTTACATGTTGAATAAGTAAGGTTTTTGGGTAGTTTGAAGTGGAGAATCAAATTAGACCTAAGCCTTCTCTTCCAAAAAGGTGCTATTCCTAACATTTGGCAAGAACACATACATACTAACGAGGACACAACCAACCCCAAGCACTTCATTCACTAAATGTCTTTCATGAACGCAGTCGCTCAATGTTCCAGTAAAATAGAGTTAGATTTAACCCGAACTGTGCTTTTCATCCCTCTTTAACCTCTAATAATTTTAAATTTAAAATCCCTCAAACAATAAACGAACTTCTTCATTATGCATTGTTACTTAATATCTTACAAGTACAGATTACCATGAGATAGGATGTTGATGTTTACTCGTCGTCTATTAGATAAAGGCTGATGCAGTTCCGAGGTTAATTATTGTCATTCTATGGATATTTTTCCTGTGGACCAATCCAAGACGTTCTGATCCTTACGAACAGCGTTATGTATTCCCTTACATTACATAATAACCATTAAAATGGATTTTCACCTAAAACACATTTAGATTTATGTAACAGTATACAGAGTGAAACCGGATATTAGTGTAAATATTTGTGCAATAATAATTAAGAATGATGCTATGAAAGTCAAAATTGATTTCAAAGGACAATCTCGAGTTAATTATGCTTAGAAGGATAAGAAGAGATAAAAAGAATATCTAATGTGTCGGGGAACTAATAATGATATTAATAACGGTAATAATGATAACCACGAACATAAGTAGACTTCATTTATTAAGATAAATAGAAAAAATAAGATAGACGTGAAAAGATTTAAAGGTTTTATTTTGTTTTTCAAGCAATTAAATAGATGACAGACCTTGTTTGTATAAATCATTATTGAATACATTGATATTCAATTTGTGACGTAATCCACTTTCTGAAAGAAAATCATCAAGGAGATTTTGAACCGGATTGTAGTTTTACTGCAACAGAGGTTCACTGGCAGTCTGTTCCACATGGTTGAGTAGCGAATAAGGAAAAAATTCTGACGTAAGTTTGTGTGGGTTCTTGGAATCGCTAGAATGTTCTCCTTATTGCGTAGATTGTGGGATGATATCATAAGGTATGAAGGGGTGGATACCGATGAGTATCAAATACCGTTAACGAGCCGGTAGATAAAGAAAAGATTTAATTTGATACGTCTGATCCAAAGAGGTTCTACGTTGAGTTGTTGACATCTTTGGTGATAGTCTTTGTTATCGGAATACCCCAGAACAGCTTTTGTGAACTTTCTTCGAACACCTTCACTTTTAATCAGGTCATTATGTCTGCAATTACTGTAAACAATGTAAGTTGTTTTCCCACCAGGCGCAGCACACAAATCCAAGATACGCTCGCCTAACTGGGGAGACAAGGCAATTACAGGAAGCATAGAACTAGCTCCCTGAAGTATATAATGACCGGCAAGATGTTCCGGTGTTGCGCCTAATGGTACTTGTGATGAATAAACAACAAGTCCAACTTTGCTCCACGGTTCCAAAGTATCAAGGTTTACACCGCGATTTATTAAGGCCTATCTAATTATATAAACAAAGAAAACTTGCTTGAGCCAATTCCCTGTCACGTGTCTTTAAGGTGTTTGTGCGAATGGTCACTGGTCTGTTGACTTCATTAGCTTCTAAAAGCTCAACAATCTCCTTGGGAAACAAATCAAGAAGTTTCATCATAAGGAACTGGTTGTACAAATAGCGAGAACATAAGTCGCTTATCAGAGTCCGAACACACAAACTCCAATTGAGGTCTGCATGTACTCTGTTTTTGAAATCGGAGAGGATATAAAGCCAGTTCCGAATGCGTTGGTCTAATGTACTGGAATCCATTGCAAACTTTCCAACCGCATCTTTGGAAGTGAGGTTTGTTATCATATCCTCTTTTTCATTTACAGGTTCTACAGAATCCACATTTGTCTCATTGTCTTCTTCCAAATCCAATAGACGTCCAAAATCATCAACCATAAGTTCGTTATCGTTATTTTCAAGAAATTCACTTCGAGTCGCAGGCACATTTTTAATAAATTTATATATGGAAATAAAGTATATGAATGCTGCTAATAGTATTGTTGAATTGAAAATCGATCGTGATATATTAGGGTTTCCTTTATTGTTGCGTTTATTTTCCCCAAAACGCAGAGAACGTAAGTGGTAATTATAATCACCTTCCCAATCTGAAACATCATACTCATTTGGCGAGTTAGTAAATAATGGTTTAGCTCTTCATACTAAAGAGGAATCGTAAATTCGTCTACTTTTCTCTTGAGAGAGAACATAGTACGCTTCGTTGATCCTTTTAAACGTCTCAATATCACCGTCATTTTTGTCAGGATGATATTTTTGATAGTTCGATAAAAGCTGTGCAAATTTCACTATACGAGGCGGATTTTTTAATTCCTAACGTATCATAATGTGTTTGAGATGAAACCAAACGGCGAAATTTATACAAGAATTGGAAACTATTTGTTCTGTGAAGTCCTATGATCATAGATAACCAGGTTTTACATAGTACGCACAAATTGAATACTAGCTCGATTGAGAGAAATTTTGATTCCCCGCCTTTAAGTCGTGTTTTTTGGGAAATTTATTCTATTGGAAAGTTGTTCTCTCTGTGTATTAGTTGACAGGATAAAAACGATAACTGCTGAAAGTGTGATTGACTAATATCACTCACTAATATATGTTTTGTAAACCTATCTCCTGATGACTATTTGTGTCTTGTGGTTATTGAAAACGGACATCGAACTCTTTGAGAAGTCGCTGGTTTCCTTTGATGTTACGGATTAGGTAACAGATTGTAAAAGGGTATTTTGGGGTTTAATACTGGCTTTCCATGTATCGGTGGAAAAACTGTGGCCTTCAACTATCTTCCGTGATGTTTTTTCACTCAACCACTAGAATTTAATGGTTGGCATATTTGATGAGTGAAGTGTTGAGTGTTACCGTTCAATAAATAGATCTAATCATTCGTATAGGACAGAGAAGGCATTCCTTGTTTGATAGAAATTAAATGTTATTGAGTAAATGAATCGCCCTCGTTGATGAATTGGGCCAACACATTTTATTCAGTTACCAGGACCGTACTTTGTCCCTCGACACGTGCATTATTTGGGTCCTTGTCAGTTTATTTACCTAATGTATTTTAGTTTAGACTAGACTAAGGCATATTAAATAGTTCTTTCCAGTGCATACAATAGTGATTTTATTTGTTTAGACATTTCGTGCAATTCGTATTATAATCATTATAATTAAGACCGTGCCAACTTCAACCACTGGTTCTTGAATTTATCAGTGGGAAGGGACAAATGCACAACTTGTGACTGCTTAACAATATACTATGGCTATCTTTATAGCCTGTCTTTCATTTCTTCCGTTGAAAACGATAAATCAGCGCTAGACTAATTGTTTAATGAATTATTGTAAGATAATTCCCTTCTTAAACATATTTCTCATGGTTCTGAAGTTAATTATTTCGGTAAATTTAAGAACATTGATTATTCTAGTATGACACTAAATGGTTATCTAAACAACGGTTTTTACACTGCTGTCTTATTCACTGTGAAGAGCTAATGTTTAAGTCCTCAGATTTGCAGTCTAACTACGTGTATGATTAAGGTGCTATCGATGAAAAAAACTTGGCGGACTTGATAAGAATGTTGTTTCATGTATTTTACAACAGCCTTTACTTTTGTTAAGATTTATTAACAAGTCACTTAGAATCCACAGTCTAGACTATTGCAGTGAACAAGGATACGGTCATGTGTAGTGAATAGCATCTAGAAGCAATAGTGATTGACAGCTCTAAATAAATAAAAACTCACCAAAGCCGTTGTGCATGACAAGTATTGGCAAGCGCACCGAATAAATATGGCAAAGCATTTCACTACGTACTGAATATTTATTAACTAAATTTATTGGACATGTTCTACCTCAATGAGCACTGATAACTGATATAGGAATGGGTTCGACGGGGCTAGGTGTTACAGCAGAAACTTGAAATATATATCATACTGTGAACTGTTATTGTGGACATCACCCTTTTATCTTGGTTACTGATATATTTTTTCCTCAAACTTTGATCTGGGTTTGTTTAGGACTTAAAATTTGAAGTTTATGGTTCCATGTTGCTTTTGGCTTGCTGTTTAGAGTTTTGACACGAGAATCATAAATATAAGAGAACAAACGTTAACACTTTGAAACATTAAGATTTTGGATTTGGAAACACCTGTTTTTTCACCACTTTTTTGGAAGTCGCGAATCTAATGTGTATCCCTTTTTTTCAATAGACGCCAAAGGCGAAAATTTCGATATCATACTGGAGAAGACCAAATCAAGACATAGTTTCCGGTTATGTAGAGAATGATTATTGGACCGAATCACTTAGGCTTGTATGGATTACTTGGTTGAGGATTGTATGATTATAGTAACCAATTATTAAGGATCTGAGTGAAATGCATATATATGGACTACAAAGTCGTTGGCATATTTAATTTATATCCTTTCTGAGATTCTAGGATTCTGAACCCCTCATGAAAATACTTTGAATTTCTGTTTATTATTTTGGTTTCTTTTTTCGAGTCCCATCTTTGGTGCTTAATTTCATTACTTCTTTTTTTCCGAGATCTCTAACGATTCCATCTCACAGAGATTTTGGATTCAGAGATTTGAACAGGTGTCTCATATATCGGGTTCTACAATGCGTTTAATTGGCCGATATTTGCAAACACGTGTTGATAGATTTCCTCCTAGTGTATAGCACGTCGTATTCATACATCAGAGATGATAGTTCCGCCTCTTGAACTGACATGATGTGCATAACTGTAAATGGAATGCCCGAATTCGCGAAATGTTACACGTGGCAAGTTTAAAGTCAACATAAAGAAAATCATATGTCAGAGGTAGTTTGAAAGAATTAGTAATAATGAAAAGCCATTTAGTTGTTGTTTTAGCTCTACAGAGACTTATATCAGGCAGATAGATTATGAAATAGGTGTCATGTGCATAAATGTTGATACGGACTCCTTATTTTTTATACGTATATTATGAAAAGCAAACATTTACGGCAATATTATTAGAAATGATAGAAGAACTTGTCCATTTGATGATAACTGTATTTCTAACCGATACCCAGCTTCAAAATTCTACGACAGATAACAACATTTTATAAGGGATGAAAATTGCTTCATTAACTTTTCGTTTACTTAACAGCATATTCCGTTGATACGACGACTTAAGATTTATTATGTCACACATGTATGTAATGCAAAAAATTCAAAGTTCCGGAGAACAAATATCTTTAGGATTCTTTTATTATAACTGCGAATTCAACAGCCTGTGCATTTATTACAGTATTTGCAAATAACCATTACATATGGGAATAAGCGAACCGTTAACCTTTATAAAGTGAACACTTCATAATTTATACGATCTGGATCTCACCGGACCACACTACAGAGAACCAGATAGATCATATTTGCATCAACAAAAAATTCCGAAAGACAATGGAAGGTGTGAGAACCAGGAGAGGTGCTGACATAACTTCAGATCATCACCTAGTTGTAGCCAAATTAAAACTGAAGCTAAAGAAGAACTGGACAACTGGACAAACAGCAATACAAAGGTTCAATACAGCCTTCCTTCGAGATACCAACAAAATAAACGAATTCAAAATAGCTCTCAACAACAGGTTCCAAGCCTTACAAGATCTACCGAAGGAAGAAACTACTATGGAAGACAACTGGAAAGGCATCAAAGAAGCATTAACTTCAACGTGTCAAGAGGTTCTGAGCCTAAAGAAACACCATCATAAGAAGTGGATCTCTATAGAAACACTGGACAAGATCAAAGAAAGGAAGAACAAGAAGGCAGCAATAAACAACAGCCGAACACGAGCAGAGAAAGTCCAAGCACAAGCTGAATACATAGAAGCAAACTAGCAATTAGAGAAAAGCATTAGAACTGACAAGAAGAAATACGTGGAAGAACTACCAACGACAGCGGAAAAAGCTGCAAGGGAAGGAAATATGAAACAACTTTACGATACAACGAAGAAACTATCAGGGAAATACAGTAAACCAGAGAGACCGGTCAAGGACAAAGGAGGTAGGCCAATCACTGAAATTCAACAACAGCGGAACAGATGGGTAGAGTATTTCGAGGAACTCCTGAATAGATCGACTCCGATGAATCCACCGGATATCAAAGCAGCTCACACAGATCTTCCTATAGATGTCAATCCACCAATGACGGAAGAAATCAGAATGGCCATCAAACAAATCAAGAGCGGGAAAGCAGCAGGACCCGACAACATACCAGCTGAAGCGTTGAAGTCAGACATCGAAGTAACTACAAACATGCTTTACCTTCTATTCAAAAAGATTTGGGAGGAGGAACAAGTGCCGATGGACTGGAAAGAAGGGCACCTCGTCAAGATTCCAAAGAAAGGAGATCTGAGCAAATGTGAGAACTACAGAGGCATTACACTACTGTCAATACCAGGGAAGGTCTTCAACAGAGTGTTGCTGAACCGGATGAAAGATGCAGTAGACGCCCAACTTGGAGATCAACAATCTGGATTCCGTAAGGATCGGTCGTGCACAGACCAAATTGCGACACTACGGATCATCGTCGAATAATCAGTTGAATGGAACTCGTCATTTTACATCAACTTCATTAATTATGAAAAGGCATTTGACAGTGTGGATAGGAGAACGTTATGGAAACTTCTTCAACACTACGGAGTTCCTGAGAAGATTGTCAATATTATCCGGAACTCATACGACGGACTACAATGCAAAGTCGTGCATGGAGGACAGCTGACAGGTGCATTCCAAGTAAGGACCGGAGTAAGATAAGGCTGTTTACTCTCTCCCTTCCTTTTTCTTCTGGTGGTCGACTGGATTATGAAGACCTCGACATCTGAAGGAAAAGACGGAATACAATGGACAGCTCAAAATCAAATAGACGATTTGGACTTCGCAGATGACATAGCCCTCCTATCGCATACACACTAACAGATGTAGACAAAGACAGCCAGTGTAGCGGCAGTCTCTGCATCAGTAGGCCTCAGTATACAGTGTATATTGTATCATTTGTATCAATTTGATCTTGCCTGTAAACTGGCATGCCTCATGTAACAAACTGTTATTTGAGAAT